CTCCTCCTCCTCCTCCTCCTCCTCCTCCTCCTCCTCCTCCTCCTCCTGCCATGATTTAAATCATGGATTGAATAAAACAACAGAAGGGAACTTCTTAGGTTGTCATTAAACATGGAAGCCTTGTTTTCAATAACAGGATGTTCTTTTGCAACTTACAGTTCACCAAGGAGAGTCTTTCTGCACAATTCTGCTGAGGTGCACCCTCCCTCTTTCTCTTCTAGGCGTTAATGTCATTCCAGGCATTAAATTTGAGAGACTTGGGATCTGTGATAAGGTCCCATTTGTCCTGGTTTATAGTGAGCCCTTGGATACTCTGGCATCTTTGATCCTGCGAGTCATAGTACTAGCTGAATACTTAAAAAAAAACAACCAAGCAATTTCCTGCCTTTGTGAACTCTCAGCACACAAAAACAGCTGCTTTGTTTCTGCCAATGGACCTGCGAACTGATTGCCTCCTATAAACAAAGGAATACTCATGTCCTAAAAAGGGGGATATGATTCATTGTAAGAATTCTTTATAAGAATTGATAATTCTTTCCATTTGTTCTCCTCTTTGTCCTTTGTCATTTAGAGCTAGACTGTAAAAGCTTTTTTTGACCCAAGAACATTATAAAAGAACTAAAAGGGGAAAAAAAAAGATTTCTTTTTGTTTTACTGTAATTTCTGCCCCCCCATTTATGCCCTTCCGTATTTTTCCCGTAATGCACAAAAACCTCCCAAGAAAGATAAATTGATAAATGGCAACCAAAAGACTCCATCTAGCACTTGGAAAGGCTCCCAACTATTTCAGCAATGGCTTAAGACTCTGGAAGGATAAGGCTTTATGGAATTTTAGAATTAGCCATGGCCAGTTCTCTAAGTGCCTTTAGGGAGCCGTTGACGACTTTTCCTTCTTGGCTTTTTCAATAGCACCATGAAATTAAGGTAAGCTGGAAAGGAAGCTTTGTGGAGCCAAGTTTCTTTCTTTTCTCTTTTCCTTGGCTGGTGTGTGTGTGTGTGTGTGTGTGTGTGTGTGTGTGTACACACACACACACATACAGAAACAGCTGCAGTGAACACATTTTTATACATACATACATACATATATATATATGTGTGTGTGTATGTGTATGTATACACACACACACACACACACACACACACACACATATCAACTTTATGTCTCTTTTGCCTTTGAAAGTCTTACATATGTAGGTTTATTTTATTGAAAGGGAGCATAAAATGCATTTTAAAACATCTACTTTTTAGAGAAAAGCAGAGACCCATTTTTGAGCACCGCTTAGGTTCCATTCAGTTGTCCAAATCTATGTTCTCATACAGTATGATAGAGATGAGTAACTTTGCACTCAAAATTTTGATTAACAGAATCCAATTCTGATATTACGTATTCTACCATGTTTTCCCGAAAATAAGACCTAACTGGAAAATAAGACCTAATGGATCTTTTGGAGCAAAAAAATAAATATAAGACCAGTCTTATTGTTGGGGAAACATGGTATGTTGAGTAACAGAATTAGAAGGGACCTTGGTGGTCTTCTAGTCCAACCTTCTGCTCAAGCAGGAGATCCTATATCATTTTTGGACAATCTCTTCTTAAAAACTTCCAGTGATGGAGCACCCACAACTTGTAGAGACAAGTGTCCCACTGATTAAGTGGTCTTACTCTCAGGATATTCCTCCTTAGTTCTACGTTGGTTTTCTCCTTCATTAGTTTCTAACTAATGCTTCTTGTTCTGCCTTCCGGTGTTTGGAGAATAGATAGACCCCCTTTTCTTTATGACATTAAATTAAATCTAAGTTCTTAAATTCTAACTCAATCATATCTAGCATAATCAAAGGGAAGTGGGAACTACAGCCCAGAAACAGCTGCGGTGGGCACATGTTCCCCACTGGGGAGGTGGTGCTGGATTGTTTTTCCCCGAAAGCCATTACTCTGCTAAACAAATAATTCCCTCAACACCGTTCAACTATTTACAAACTCTGCACTACTATAGCTGTTTAATCTTCTCATCACTCCTTATCACCCCTCCCCTCCCACTTGTGACTGAATGACTGTAAATTTGTTGCTTGTATGCTTATGATTTATATGGACTGATTCCTAGTGTGATTTGATTGCTTATTGTACCCTATGACTATCATTAAGTGTTCTATTTTATGATTCTCGACTCTTGACGAATGTATCTTTTCTTTTATGTACACTGAGAGCTTTTGCACCAAGACGAATTCCTTGGGTGTCCAATCGCACTTGGCCAATAAAGAATTTTATCTATCTATCTATCTATCTATCTATCTATCTATCTATCTATCTATCTATCCATCCATCCATCCATCCATCCATCCATCCATCCATCCATCCATCTGAGTAGCCTGGATTCAGGACCCTGCTTGATCATGGAGATTATTGATTGACCTGGCCCAGTCATTCTCTTTCAGCTTGACCTACCTCATTCCCAAAGTACATCACATAACATGATTAATCCAGTTACTCGACCTAATTATTCAATATGGCTTCCTCCATCGGCTTTATTTGGAAAGTTGAAATTAGTGGTCATACTACCCCAGGTCACTGCAACTGTCATAAATAATTCTGATTGTGGGATCCCCGATGCTCTCTGAGTTTGGCTGTTTTCTTGCAACGTTTTATTTCCAAACTTTGGAAATAAAAGTTCTTGCAAACTTTTATTTCCACTGCTGTGTACTGATGATGTTACCTAGCTGGTAATGAAACATTGCAAGAAAACAGCCACACTCAGAAAGCACAAGGGATCCCTCTTTTCAACCCCAAGCTACGGATATTCTCTTCTATAGTTCTGATTGCCAAATGCCTGAAATGCAATCACAAGCTGTGACGGTCATAAGTATAAGGATTGGCAGTAAGCTACTTTTTTTTGATGCCATTGTAATTTCAAATGATAGTTAAACAAATGGTCATATGTTGAAGACAGGGGTGGTATCAGAAGGTTCTGACCAGTTTTGGAGAACCAGTAGTGCAAATTTTGAGTAGTTTGTAGAACCGGCAAATCCCAGATCCGACTGGCCCTGCCCCCATCTATTCTCTGCCTCCCGAGTCCCAGCTGATCGGCTGGGTCTTCTTTGGTTGCCCTGCACAGGAGAACAGAGCTGAAAAGCAGGTTAGTGGGATGGGGTGGGGAGGGAATGGGATTTTGCAGTAACCTTCCCCTGATACACCCACCAAGCCACGCCCACAGAACCAGTAGTAAAAAAAATTAGAATCCCAGTACTGGTTGAAGACTGCCTATAGAACATTAACTTAAAATCATGTACAACTATCTTGTAAAGACATCTAGGTGCTAAAATTCGATCTATTGGACGTTACATTTTTTTTGCAGATAACGTGTTTGTGTATTCTTCAAAATTATCCATTATTTTGTTGATTTCATAGTAGAAGCAATTTGGAATGGTGATGGTGTGATTAATTATTTCTTCCTGGACATAGAGATAGACTCAGGTGAGTGAAATACTGCCGGTAGCATAAACACTTAATGGGCATATATAGTATTCATCTCCAGTCATAAATCTTTTTTGTTCAAACACATTAGAAGTGCCTGACCAGTGCTGATAACACTGCTACAGTTGCTTGAAGTATAAATAAGTAAACAAGCACAATAAAAGTTCTAAGTGCTTGCTTCTTAACAATTTCACCTTGAATTTGTCCAAGCATAAGAATTTGATCTTTAGTGGCTATACATTCTAAATGTCTTTTGATCTATCACCCATCACAAATTCTAAGCCTCAACTTGTACTGAATATATGCTGTTCACAGACAAGAATCAGCTGAGGAAAGAATTTGGGTAACATAAAATACCTGATTTATAACTTAGTCAATGTGAGTTCTATGAATGATTTAAAGTAGCCTTCCTCAATCAGACGACTTCCAGATACTCCCACTCCCATAATTCCTACTCAGTACCGGAGTTCTGGGAATTGTAGTCCTAATGCATGTGCAGAATGCCAAAATAAGGGAAAGTGGTTTTAAAATTAGCTTTTCCACGTTTAGCAAAATAGTAGGAGATCAGAATCCATCTATCTATATAAAGGCGCAATACCACTCATGCATCATCACAAAATCTCCAGAACCATAAAGCCTACAAACTTGAAATTTGGCGTGTATGTTCCTCTTGGCTTCTAGGGGCTCACTAAGAAAGGATTTTTAGTAATGACTATCAGAGCATTAGTATTTAATATATTATTATTAACATGGTCTGATGCTAAGGAGTTTTACTCACCCTCCCCACCTGAAAAGAAATCTGTTTCAAATGCAAAACACAAGCAGAGGAGAGGAGTTTCAGTTTTAGTTTCACAGCACCAAGCAGCTTTAGTACAGAACAGCTGAGCTAAGCCACACCTAGGCTCCTTGCTGTCTCCTTCTTGCTCACACAGCAAATACTTCTTCCATTTTCAAACAGCCCTCAACTCTCTCACACACTGACAGGATGCTAGCCAGATGAATACCAATGGATGCTGGTAAGCAGAGGCAGAAATTTTTCTTCCCCCAAAACTGAGCCCAACCACATAGTTTTGTAGCGAAGCACAGGTATCGAGCTAGTATTACATATTGGAGGTTTTCACTGGAGGTTTTCCAAAATAGACTGGACAATCATTTGATAGGAGTGGTATACAAAGTCTTCTGTCTTGAGCAGAGGGTTGGACTAGAAGATCTCTGAGGTGCCTTCCAGCCCTACCTTTCTACGTTCTATGTTCTAAGATTAAATATTTCATCATAAAAAAAAGGACAGGATTTCTTCTGCAGAAATGTTCTCTCAGGTGCCGCACTGATTTCCTCTCCGTTTGGATTCTCCGTTTGACTAGTTAAGAGATCCAAAGGTGATTAAGAAATGAAGATGTATGGCCCTTCCTTATGTGGATCTCACCTCAGCACAAACAAGCTGTGGCAATATGCCTTTCCTGCCAGCACATTGTCTTCATATCATCCTTAGCTGTGCTGGTGTTAATGTAATTTTTCTCCACTTATTCCAACACCATTCAAGGGCACCTTCAAGGCATACAAAATCTGTCACACTTTGTGCCCTCATTAACTCGGACGGAAGTTAGGTAACACGTAGCCATGGGTAAGAAAGACAGTAGAGGCAGGATAGGGATCAGCAGTGGAGACAGCAAATCTCAGGCTGATACAATTGTGTTTTGTTTTTTGTTTTTTTGGTCATCTCATAGATGGCCCAAGGTCACCCAGCTGGTTTTGTGCTTAAGGCAGAACTAGGATTCACACTCTCCCAATTTCTAGCCTGGTACCTTAACCACTATACCAGACTGTCAACTCAGTTGTTTTGCATACCCTAAATGAACAATTGTAGAAAAGAGCACCATAGCAGTTAAGCTAAGCTGTTAAATTGAACAGGTACTCTCCACCACCTGTGCTATCACGCCGCTGAATACCTAATTCTCTCAGTTGACAAATCAAAGTGACTACTAAGTTCTGTCTAATGTGTATGTATATTAACCCATACAATGTGGCTGTAGTATTATTTATGACAAGAAGCAATGGATGGAAACTAATCAGGGAAAGAACCAACCTAGAACCAAGGAGAAATTCTCTGACAATTAGAACAATTAACCAGTGGAACAACCTGGCTCCAGAAGTTGTGGGTGCTTCATGACTGGAGGTTTTTATGAAGAAACTGGACAACCATTTGTCTGAAATGGTATAGGGTTTCCTGCCTGAACAGTGGGTTGGACTAGAAGATCTCCAAGGTCCCTTCCAACTCTGTTATTCTGTTGTTTTGTTATTACCTATTTTCCCCCTTTACTGGTTGCCCATTTCTAGTATTATTATTATTTTCTCTCTTGTTTTGCAAGTACACTGAGTCCTGCAGTCTCGGAGACAAATTCCTTTTGTGTCATTCTATTCTATTCTGTTCCATTCTGTTCTGTTCCACCTTACCCTACTCTACTCTACTCTACTCTACTCTACTCTACTCTACTCTACTCT